GGTCAGGTGACCTCGGCTGACTCTGTGTGTTTGTTCAGTGCGCAGGGTTTCAAGTGTGGAGCTGATTGGACCAGAGTGACCTTCAGGTGGGTTCCTCTCATTACTCGTGTGTGTGTGTGTGTGTGTGTGAGATCTGAGCGCGCTCAGTGTGTCTCGTTCTCTTTCAGCCCTGACGGGAGCTACGTGGCCGGCGGATCAGCTGACGGCGCTCTGTACATCTGGAATGTGCTGACGGGGAAAGTGGACCGGACTCTAGACCGGAACCACAGGTAAGGTCGTTCAGGTTTATCCACACGCCAGCGGCTCATGCCTCGCTGCTGACCTTTGACCTCTCCTTGCTGCTGTCGTTGCAGCTCAGCCATCAACTCGGTGTCCTGGTCGCCTTCAGGAGCCTACGTGGCAAGCGTGGAGAAAGGCAGTCGCGCCATCTTGTGGTCAGACATGTGACCGGGCCCGAGGAGGCGGAGTCAGGCTGTGGGCAGCCAACGGCGGCCCCTCTGCCATCTTCATCGTGGTGAAGATGAAGAGGATTCCCTTGACTGTGGAGGCGAGCTGCTGTGTTCTGTTTCTGCAGCTTTTCATGTTCAGCATCATTTTAATGACCGGGAGGAGGCGGAGCCACATGCGGCGCCGCAGCTGCTGATGTGAGGACGGCCAGTCAGGTGACACGTTGGAAACGCAGAGACATTTCACTGTTGACACTTCCTCTCCTCACTGCACAGGACGCCTCAGGAAACAGGAAGTGCGTGCACCGACCAATCAAAGATTAAAGAAACTGTCGTGTGGTTTGTTCCTGCGCTCGGCAATGCCTCATTTCTACCTCGCCGCTTCGCTCGCGCCAGGTACTGCTGACTTCCTGTTGTTCGTTGTCCACTGCAGACAGAACCGCGTCCTCGCTGTGACATCATCAGCAGGACAGCGTGTCGTGTTCTGAACGCGGCGCCGGCCCGAGCCTCGACAGGTGGTCAGCACGAGCCTCAGTGGAAACAAGGAGGGGGCGGAGTGGAAATGAGGCCGTTTGGACCGTGACGTGAACGCCATCAGTGATGTTTTTCCACAAACAGGAAGTGGACCTGTGACAGACCTGTGTGGGTTTGTGTTTGATTCACAGGTGTGTTGCAGACTGTTCAGCACTGACCTCGCGTGGACAGACGGGCGCATGTGATTGTGTAACCTGATGATTGTAAATGTCCTGTAAAAGTCCTGATGAATAAATCCTCTGACACACGAGTTCTTCCACGCCGCTCGCTCTCTGAGCCTCACAGCGGTGGCGAGCTGTTCTTG